CCCCTTCCTTTTGGGAACTGTGAGTAACCAAATATCTTTTCAATGGCAATTGTCTCCTGATCTGTTGACCTCACCATACTTGAATACTAATATAATCTACATTTTAAAACAATCTCCTAGGCTCTCTCTTGGAAGACGAAGTCCTCTCACTGTTTACCTTGGTAGAAGAAAGCCACCTCTGTGTTTGACCAGAGGTGCAGGCACACACAGCTGAGCCATTCCACACTCCCTCCCAGCCAGTCTCAAAGTTGATGCCTTGTAATGAAATCTGAGCTCCTGTTCCAACTTTGGAACCATTTTCTCACAAATGTTGGCTTAATTTTTATACCATGTTTGGGACCCAATGAAGAAAATCCTAGGGGCACTGTGGTACAGGAGGGAGAATAAGCAGTAACTTGAAAGGAAATAGCAGAGAGTATGTATCTCCAAGAAGAGCCCATTCCTGTTCAGTTCTAGAGAGCACTCCTGTCCTGTACTGCTGGGCCAGGAGAGCTGCTCTTAGAGCCAGTTCCTAACCTTGCTTGGACCATTAGCCCTCTTGCAGTCTGATGAAGTCTTGGGACCTCGCCTCAAAATAAATATTTTATATGAATAAAATAGAATAGAGTATTAGAAAGAACATATTATATTGAAAGTTATTAAACATGTTTAAAAATTTTTGAGAAGATAATGTACTATTTTATTCATTAAATATCATGACATAGCAGAGGGTCTTATAACTACCATAATTTTGAAGTACTGATGAGTGTGATGATGTGTTGCAATATCTGCAATGATTGTAAACAGATCTCAAAATATGTGACTTCCATTGTTCCAGCTACTAATATTATATTCATAATTGGAAAAAATGCTTTTACTGTTAGACGAGACCTCACACTGTATGTTGAGAGGTTCAGAGTTGTGCTGAAAGTAGTGGGTTGGGTGTGCATGCATGAAACAGGTCTCAGTATAAGCTGTGCACACAACATGTTGGTGTCAGCCTCATCTTGAGTTAAACCTAATACCAACTGTAATTAGAAAGCATAGATGGATTACTCTAGTTCTATTCAAATTTGTTACCATCTAATAACTGCAAGGAAAATGCCTTTCAAGAAAACACATTTCATCTTTACTGATTTTGAGAAATCTCTGACAAGGGTGTTTTAAATTTATAGACAGATTTTCAGGTATGGCTTAGAGACATAATCTCTATGTAAACTGCCCTGAAAAGGAAGTTACAAATTCAACTTGCGGTTATGAAACAAAATAAAATCTGACTGAGCCTAAGAAATCCTGAGATGCAACCTATGGGTCTCAAATGCTTTTTTGAGGTTGGCACTTTTGGTAGCAGTGGTGCTCTGAGCTAGTGGTGCTCTGAGCTAGTGGCAACCATTCACACAGAAGCAAAATTCCCCCACTCTCCCATATCTCCGTGTGATACAAGTATGGCATAGTTTTTAACTATGGCACCATTTCGGCAAATTAAGTCTTCTCCTGCTCTTTTGCTTTGTGATATTTGGTGCATGTGAACCAAGAGTTGCAGGAAGTTGGGATGTTAAAATGATTTGCCTAGCCCAACCCTGCATTGTCAGGGAGAAGAGGTGAAGGCCTGGCCTCCTCACAGCATGGCTTTTAGTTACAGTTCTACTTCATCTAGTTAGAACTCAGGAGACAAAAAATCTAAACACAAGATTTTGATTTCCTTGCGTTCCCAATTTTGCCTCTGTACTCTAGTTCTTGGCAGTTTGGCCAAGGGGTTGGGTTCTGAGCTACAGAAATTAGGAAGGCAAGTTTCTATTTGGAGTAAGTTAGGAAAAGCAGGACCCCAAACCCAGTGAGGATCTAGAAAATCTCTACTGTTTCCTTGGCACCTTTTAAAGAGAATAGAGGTGAAGGTCAACATCGTGATCTGCAACCTTGTCACTCCCCATAGATCTCCTCAACAAGCTGTGGAAGGCACTGGTTCATATTTTTGCTCCAAGGGAAAAAGCAAGGAGAAATAGAGTGAGAATGAATAAATGTCACTTGATTTGTTTACTGTAGGATCACGCAGGGGTTTTCAATTTAACAGGTAAAAAAATGTTAAACAAAAAGTTCTTTTCAGGCAATCTGAATTTAGGATTTTCATTCTTGGGATTGAGGACAGGTGTAGCTTCCTGTTGAAAAATCAGCCCTCTCCTGCCTTCTGGGATTTCCTGTCTTAATTACTTTCTTCTTTGCAAAATATAACAGTTTTCCCTTCAGTTGCAAAGTTGCAAAATTATTTTATCTAGGAATACTGTTTTGCAAGTGGAGCATCAAAATGAATAGTAGGAAAACAAATAAACATGCTCTGTGGTTTAGTATTACAAGAAAATTCCCAGACTCCTCCCAACAGGGTATCTGGTTCTTGCTCCATGAGCGACTCTCTGCCATCTGGCCTAAGTGGGCTCTCTGGTACCCAAAGCTCTTCCTGATGGGCTCATTGCTGTTCCAGTACTTAGCTTCAGTTTCTGGATGTGAGGATGATTCCCATCATTTCCACTGGCACTTTACAAGGGTAACTGGTAGCAAGGTGGCATCTGGTTTGTCAAAGTCCCAGAGAACCTGGAGAAGTCAGTCCACTCTTTCCGCCTTGAGAGTATCTTGTTTTGGGACATATATGCTAACATGACATACATTCTAATATATTCAAAAACAAAAGGTCATACATTTTAAGGAAAGACCCACTAGCCTCCAGCTCAGCAGATAAACCTGGTAAAGTGGTCTTTCCATGTATTTCTTTTTTTTTCTTTTTTGAGTTGGAGTCTCACTCCATTGCCCAGGCTGGAGTACAGTGGCATGCTCACAGCCACCCCAACATCGACCAGCTGGGCTCCAGCGATCCTTCCGCCTCAGACTTCCAAGTAGCCGGAACTACAGGTGTGCACTACCACGCCCAGCTAATTTTTCTTTTATTAATTGTAGAGAAGAGCTCTCGCCAAGCTGCCTGGGCTGGTCTCAAACCATATTCCTGACTGACGACTGGTGATAGAATATGGAGAAGTGTGTCAGTTCAGGTTCTCCAAGAAGCAGAAGCCAAGATGGGATTAGACTGCAGGACATTCATTCGTTATAGGAAATGGCTGTGAAGGAAGGATAGAAGTGGAGGGAGCAGTAGGTAGGGATGCCCTCAGGTCACGATGCAAGTCAATAACTTGTGTGTGATGTAGACAGGAAGAGCAACTCCGAGAAAACCCTAGAGCAAAGGTTCCCAGTAGCGCTTTCTGTATCTCCCCCATTCTCTAACACAAAGAGTACCTAAGAATCAGACACCTATCTGTCGGGGGATGGGAAAACACTTCTTATCTACAGGGTGCCTGAATGAAACGTCATTGTACACCTAACCCTTAACTGTACCCCACAAAACCATAATAAAAAATACTGATTAATGAAAAAAAAAAAAAAAAGAATCGGACACCATCTCTATACTTTAAGGCCTTGCACAAACAACACTTCCTGTGAGTCTTCCTGAGCATCACTGATAAAACTAGTCCCCTTTCCACAGCGCCACTACAAGTGTGGGCTCTATCCCATTGTATTGTATTTCACTGGGTATGGGTCTGCTTCCCAACAGCCTGTTCCTCACAGTCCACGGAGGCAGAGACCATCTTTATCTTCTCACACTTCTCCCACTTTGACAGCCCGAGGTGTCTTGTTCCTGTCAGAATATATGATAGCAGAACCACAGCTGAAGGAAACAATCTCATGTCTGTCGCCCCTCATGAAGTCCTATGACAGCAGCAAACCACCCTGTCTACATGACTGGCACTTACTTGTAATATGCCGGGCAAACACATGGGGAGAGGTTGATGACCACACTTGTTTGCATCTCTTCAAATCATACTTCTTTGCTCACTCTGCATCCCTCGCACAACCCTCAATTCATGGTAATAAGATCTGATCAAACTCATTACTCTACACCCTTTTGGAAAATCTTATCTTTTTTCCCAATGGTGAAAACAGGCAGGGGCAAGAGCAAGTTATATTTATTTTGAAGGTAATGGTTCCCAGATTGACTATCTGAGAACTGTGACTATTTTGGAAATAAAACCAAAGTTCACCACCACAAATCAGTCTTAACAGAAAATATATCTGAAGAAGGTCAGAATTCCACTTGTAAAATCATTTATTGGTATAAATATACATATGAATAAAATACCTTCAGCCTGTAATGTAAATGAATAGTTGTGAAATGTCCTATAAAGAGTAGTATTTTTATTTTTTACAGGTGTCAAAGTAATCTCTCTTAAAATTACACATTAAAAACTAATATGCAGACAGAAATTAAAGGCCTTCAAAAACATGAATATTCATAAAACCCATTCCAATCAACTATATACATTAACCTGGGCACATGGTAGAGTCAGCCGTGGGCCTCTCTCAAACTCGTTTGTTGATGGTATGCAAAGGTCACCAACCAAGCTTTACATATATAATTCCACATCAGGAAGGAAGAATGTAAAAACCATACCCAAGATCTAATATATATAATTTATACAAATTATTTATTAGTGTGCTCTGTTAATATAATTACAATGTGCAATTGCATACATCAAGAATAAATTGCTATATTGAGTCATGTGCAGATTTGACACAGGTACATTCAGCAGTACCCTGTGGTCTGCTGTGGTGTTACTTGTTTGAATGTGTGTCCAGTTACTTCATTTACCTCCCAAAACTCATCTTGCAGGGCAATCTGTAGCTGCCTCAGAGAAATTCAAGTAGGGCCCGTGGAATAAATGCTGGCTTTTGTTAAAGGCATATATGAAGGAATGCTTACAAATCAAATGCCAAGAGGTTGGAGAAAGACCAAACAAATGTGCTCTGATTACCAAGAAACAGATCTGTTTTGATATTCAAAAATATAGAATATAGGGGAAAAGGAAGGAAGGGAGGGAGCGAAGGAGGAAGGGAACGAGAGGAAGGAAGGAAGGAAGGAAGGAAGGAAGGAAGGAAGGAAGGAAGGAAGGAAGGAAGGAAGGAAGGAGAGAAAGAAAGAGAGCACCAAGAGAAGAATGCCTGGGAAGAAGAAGCGTTGCCCTTGGTTCCTCTCTGATGGTTAACAAAAGCACCCTTCACAGGAAGACATCTGTGTGGGTGACCTTTACACAAAAATAAACTCTTTTTCCGCTTCTTCCCCAGAGTCACTAGATTTGCTGCCTTGATGGCCATCTTTACTGGAGGACTGTTGTTTTTGTTCTTGAGACTCCTGGGCCTGTGGGCCCCAGCTTCTCCTTGAAACTGAAATAGAAAGGGAAGTTGTAGTGTTTATTATTAATAAAGTAGTATCAGAGACCTGACTGACAATGGGGTGAGATACACAAACCCTGAAAAGTGGGTTGGGGGTTCAGGATGAACTTTTACAGAAACAAACTTGCTCTTATGTTTAGAGACTCCAGACAGTGATTTAAAACAAACCAACCAAGCAGAAACAAAAGAAAAGAAGAAAACACACACAGAAAACAGTCTATGACAGGGTGAACCTCTCATAGATGTGGTTGAGAATCTGAGGTGACACCCCAGAGGGCAAGGATGGTGGGGAAGCGGAGGAAGATGCCAGGAAGGAGGAGTGCTCTGAAGCTGTTCTGCCTCAGGTAACCTCCTCAGTCATAGCTGCTCCCTCACGCAGCAGAGAGAACAGTGCAGACACAGTTTTGGGGGGGTGCTGCCTGGACAGATGCCCCATTCAATGACTTCTCAGATGATTCAGGGTTAGTCATCCCTGCTTAGTCATCCCTGCTTAGGGCGCAGGATATCAGGAAAGGCACGAGGAATTTTTGTCAGAACTTTCTGTGTCTCAGAAAACCTGTTTCACTCCCTATGATATGAATACTTTAAAGTCTTGTGGAAAAGAACTATATGCTGCCTATGATACATCCAACCCCTTTGGAATCACCCTCTAGGTAAAAAAATGACCATTGTTGTTACCTGTTCTAATTGCACATAAATATGAAGACTCCACTGAGACTTTACCAAGCAATGATGAAATCGTCATTATTTGGAACTGAGCCCCCTCTGTTATGTGTTAGGAACTCTCAGTTTTATTACTGCTACTCTTCATGACTACTCTGTGAGACAGATTTTGTAAAACTTGAACCAGGATGTAAACATGCCTCTCCCAAGTCCATGTTCTTTCCATCTAGAACATGGCATCACTGCTGTGATACCTTGGGAAAGGTTTGGATGCTATATTCTAGCGTAGACATTAAGGGTTATTAAATACTACTCATTTTGTCTACTGCATGGAACCTCTTGAGCTAAAAAAAACCAAACCCACACTGTACAGCTTGAAGGAAAAGGATAGCTACCTCATCACTCAGAAGTACAAATGATTCAGCCAGGAACACACTGTGTCAATCCTGAAAAAGCTTGAAAATTCAACTGATGTTTCTAATCACTTTGAGTTTTTAATTCTGCTAAAAAATTCATCTTGCTGGGAGCTGGCTATTTAAGTATTCACTGAAGAATATTTCAGGAAGTGAGACTCATTAAAACTAATAGTCAAAATGCAAACATAATAAATACTTCTCTTGCCAATACCAGTGTTAGAGCCAGATTCTGATCTCTAGACAATAAAAATTTAAATTCTTAGTAAATTCTACAAAGAAAATATTTTAAACTTCATTATAAAAAGTATTCAATTTTTAACATTTTGACTTCTTTTTATGCAATAGCTTTAGGCAAATTCTCAGATGGAGAAAAGAAAGTAACAAGTTTTATAATTGGTTTCTATTTTTTAAGCTTACATAAGGTTAAATAATTAAATATACTTGCTCGGGCCTTTAAAAGTTGTTATTAAACTAGGCTTTGAAAAATAAGATAAATACAATTCTATAAATATTTTGTCATTTATCACAAAACCAATTTGATACTGGCACACAGTACTTAAGTGCTAAGAAGAGGTGCAAGTAAAAAATAAAATGTGTCATATCTTTATCTTGAAAATATTTTGCAATAAGTCCAACCTCTAAACAAAGCATTGGTTATGATATCTGCTAGAAATCTCTTTCAGTCTAGTTTAAAACCAAAAGAAGTTATTCCTCTATAGCAAATGACTCAAAAATATACTACAGATTCAAGGGAAGAAATAAATATAGTGATATACTGTTCATTTGTCTTCAGAGCAAAAAAATATAAAATTCTCAGATTAAAAGAATAATCAAATGTTTGTCCTTCCCAATATTTCAGTTTCCTGGAAATTTCAGGTCTAATTCACATTATATGATATAACACAACAGTAATTTCTAAAAATGGCGAAATGTCATTTCAATTTAATTATTAATTTTAATTAATAAAAAGATACTCAAGTAAAAATGTTTGGGTCATAAATAAAAACTGAAATAACCCTGTGGATAAGAGTCATTGTAACAGGCATGATTGAAATTCAGAGAACTCCAACATATAAGAATCTTCCTGCAAAAAACAAAAACAAAAGACAAAACAGACTGTCCTTCAGTCTCCATAGAGTGTTGATTCTTTCTAGTCACTGACACTGGGTTTCTTAGTACTCCAGGAATGGGGGGTTGTAGGAGCAGCAGGGTAGGGGAATGGGGGAGGACACAGCAAACTCTGGCTCCTAGGTTAGTGACATAGCGCCAGTACCAGTCATGAAAGCAAAAATTGCAATTTATCTAACACAGCTAACAGGGAAAATCACATGTTTTTTCAAAAGGGCTGTCAAAGCATTTCACTATGGCGTTGACATTTCCTTGAAAGTATATTCACCTTCATTGATTAAACTCTATCAATTGTAAATGTGCATGTGATAATGAGACTTGTACCAGGCTGACATGTCCTCAGTAAAGTAGGTAGGCATCATTCAGGGACAGGAAAAGTGATCACAGTGAAATCAAAGAACTAAAGTCATACTACTAACGTGGTGAGTTTGGAAACCAAAGCATTTGGTCTCCCAGCCTCCAGCCTTATTAGTCCAGATTCCTAGGGTAAACAACTTTGTATGGGGGAATGTTCTTTCTAAAGCAACACATTGTTTTGCAGCCCTTAGGGAAGCATCTATTTTATTGCATATAATTAAAATGTCAATTACAATTATATTGAAGTAGGTTTGGTCAGGTTTCCTTTTAAAGAGGCCCTAAAACAGAACTATGCCCATTTGAAACTTAAAAATCCAGAATTTATTTTTAAAATATTTAAAAATTTAGACTTTTTACCAATTCAGACAGAGGGCCTCCAAGAAGCTGATTTAATGCTTGATTTTATACTGGGTGGAAAAAAAAAGCAGATTGTTTCACAAACACATCTTCAGTACAAGTATGTGTACAGTTAAGAGTGCTGGAGCATCTCGATGCACATGTCTATTCATGTATGTATTACCATTCCACATACCATTAAAATTAATGAATAAAAGATACTTGAGTAAATGAACAGGTAATTTATTCAACACAAATATTCCATGTCTATTCACATCCTGTTGATAGTGGCAATAATTTGTGCAGAGAAGCTCAAACATGAAATCTGTCATTCTTGAAGATGATCTGACTTTGCATATAGATGTGTTAATTTTAAAGCTTATGCAGATGCATACAAATTCAGATATTCATATGAAAATTGATATTTTCTCCATTGTAAGCTCCACTAGCATCCATATTTTCCAAGAGAAAAGCATTATAATGACCTTAAAATAGTATTCAGTAGTTGGCCCTGATTTTTTTATACTTTCTAGCAAGAGCCCCAGATGCCAACCAACTGTTAAATTTATTTTGAAGAACTCATATAGAGAAAGTAGAACCTGAATCTGGTAGAAAAAAGAAGAACAGAGCACTGGCTTACATACTGTAAGTCACAGCCAAGTATTTGTTGGCTAAAGGTTGAATCATGGAAGAAGCAAGTGATATATAAAAGGAATCTCAGAATCAGATGCCCTGTATAAACAGAGCCATTACAATGCATACAAAGCCAAAACCAACTATTTTCTTCAAGAAAATAGGATGTTCTCTAACAAAAACATCATGACATAATTAAATGTAGAGAAAAAATGATGTGAAATTTAAAAGATATAGTTACAGATATTTCCAATAAAAGAAATTAAACATTTTACCTGTCAAATCAATATTAAAATAGCCACACAATTGAAACATAATAATCATGATAAAAATACGCAGCATGCTTTGAGAACAATAGCCTCTGTTTGTTTCATGAATACATGATTTAGGAAAATAAGAAAGCTGTTTTAGTGTACACAAAGCTGCTCTTAAAGGATTTAAGAGAAAGTACACGCAATGATTTAATGGAATTGCTTTTCTAAATGCTATTTTTTTAACCAGGAACTATTCAGGAAGCAGACTGCTATGCAGTTCTCAAAGGTGAAGACAGTTAAGTGCTAGGAATCGGCACTAACAAAACAAATTAAAATATTATACATAAAATTACTTTAATTGAAGCTCTTGTAAAAATTACTTTTTGATGTCTGTCATTATTTTTAGAAATCAAGGCAGAAAAGCAAATACAAGATGGTCCTATTTATTTCTATCAAAATTTGATGCAGCCCATCACAACAATGAGAATTTCAAGCTAAAGAGGTCATAGAAATATCTAAAACAGACAGAATTTCTTCTCCTTGCCTTTCTGTGATTTGTGATTTGTAGCTTCTTTTTACTCTAGCTCAAAACTTTACTTGATGATCAATGAGGTACGAGGGAGTGGTCTCTGTAGGTTTTATAAAGTGCTTTTAGTGGTCTCTTAAAGGAACATTGCATCAATGGTGCTCTGTCAATAATCAAGTAATATAAGTCAATGGATACAATAGTTCAAATGTAAATTTCCAGAATACAGTAACATCTATTGAAGCCTCAAGTGTCCTCAATCAAAACAGGCAATATAAAGACAGAGAATCTGGCTTAATATATTCTCAAAAATAAACAGGTGTTTATTTACGTAACTTTTCTATGACTGAAGACAACAGAGATGTTCTTGGCAATATGGAAAAAATTTCTTGTAGAGAGGAGCTATTGTAACTGTGTGTCTATAAAAAAGTCTACTATGCAGAAAAGCCTTAAAAGGGAAGGATCAATTCAGCCGGTTTTCTCTAGGGCAGGCGCTGCCCGAACCAAACAGAATGTTCTATCCTTACACCTACAGACTTTGCTTTCTGCTGTAGCTGGTGTCCTTAACTCCATCATGCCATCTAGCTAGTATGTACCAGAATACCAAGCAAATAAGTACACAAGGCATATCTGATAGTACTGTCTGAGAAGGCAGGGTACAAATGTTGTTGCTGGTACATGGTTGATAGATGCTTTTCTGTTTTTAAATCTGTATCAAGGCAAGTTCTCAAAGACAACAGTTCCCACTTGAAATATCATAACTCATTATACTGTTAAGCTGGGGGCGGATCACAAGAAGTTTGTTATCAATAGTAGAGTGTTAAAGTTTGAGAATGGTTTATCTCTTTGCAATAAAGATAAGTTATCCCTATAGTAAGGTCACTCCCACTAGTATTCTGAAAACTTTCTTAGGAGGCAGTGACGGACATGGAGTTATAACTAGAATGCTGGACTATGCACTTAATCGCTGGAAGCCAATACACTCATCTGTTCACTCCTGATAAAGTTCACAGGAAGAAAAAAGCCTCATTCCAAGAGCAGAAGTCATTTAAGGAAATCTCACATATCAGGATGTTTTGTATTCTTTAAAGATACTAAGATTTTCTTTAAATATTTTGAAGTCATATTTATAAAAAGTTATTAACCAGGGAGATGATGAGTACTTTAGTCACAGAAAAAATATTTCTCTCTGAGTCAGCAATGCTTGTTTTTAAGTTTCCCATTAGAAGAGACAAAGCTGATTTGAAATCTGTCTCCCTTTTGTCTCTTAGGATTGTTCTCACCTGAAAAAAAAATTACGGAATTTACTACATGGCCAAATGGAAGACAGACATCAGAGACTAACTGCTAGAAAACAGAATAAGTTGTTCCTGAAGGTTGACAAGTTAATTGGTATTTTTTCTTTCTTACTAAAGGGTCATAAAACATCCACTGAAAGATCTCATGTGCATGACCCACAGTCTGTATTTAGATAGTGGATTTTTATTGTTTCTTTCCTAAAAAAGTCTACGGTGTTAGGCAAATATTCTCTAAAGATATAAGTTCTGTTACTCTAAGAAGTTCTAATCTAACCATAGTTGAAATCCAACAGACAAGTAAAGCTATAAAGAAACAGAACAGGAGGCATGACCCCACATATAAACACATACAATCACAAAAATTTGAAAGGACAAGTCACGAAAGTAACTTAATCCTCTTCATAAGAATTTCTAATTTTAGATTTTTAGGACAATATTTTTGCCCCAAATGGAAGGACCATCCTGTTGCTATTTAGAAAACAAAAGAAAAGAAAAATAAAACTCGGTTGTATGACTAATCCCTGCCCTAGACCCATGACAGAGGTTACTCAATTAAAGTTCGTTTTTGTTAGTGCCAGTTCATAAGCTTTGGGTCAGTGAGGGATGATAATCGAAGGCTCTAACCATTTGTTGGCTGTGACTTCCTGAGCCCAAATGCATTCACTTCATCTTCTGCAATGGTGGAGTACAGTTTTGAAGATCTTTTCCCTCTACTGGAAGGCTTGCCACTGTCATGATCTGAATGTCTTTTGTAATAATCTCCTCTTTGCACTACTGAGGAAAAGGGATTCATTTTACCCTTTATATTAGCACATGCATCAATGTGTTAACATTAATATTAAAAATACTAATCTTAGAAATTAAATATCAGCTTACCCGCCCCACTTAAGATTCAAGGAACCTACAGTGTTGGTCCTGGGCAGATACACCATATCTATAGAATTCAACAGCCAACATTATGGAATGGCGTGCAAAATGAGGTGGGCTCCAAGTCCATCCCAAAAAGGTACTAACAAAAAGGTCCCAATATTACCGTCTTGATTCCACGATGGATTAATGAAAATCACATTCACTATGGAATTATCCAGAAGAATCATAGTAATTTACCTGTTTCAGAAATTAGTTGGGCACGCTAGTCCAAAGGGAGGCACAGAACAGGGAAATGAAGTAACCAGCATGAATAATTTTTAAGAAAACAGAAATGAGCACAACAGGAACAGTTTATAAGGAAAAGGATATGACTTCACAAGTAGCTACCATTTCTGGGCCACCTTAATGGACGAGCTGATAAATAATCTAAAGTCAAAATCTTAACAGCTCAAACATCTACAGACCATTCTCAGACTTCAAGTATATTTTGGTCCAACTTCAATACAAAGTAATTCATCAGGATGATCTCTACAATCAGCTTATTCTGGACCCCAGAGGGGAAAGCCATGGTCTCCATAGCTCTACAGTTCCTACCATCCAAATGGAAAGAAGGGAGCAAGAACCATCCCTAATATTAAGTGAGAAAGGAAATCAAGTATCTATCTACCTCTGAAGCTCTGAAATATTTGAGGAATACTTCATTCTATTCCTAACTTCCTGCAGAAAGAACACTCAACTTTTTACAGCAGTGAAAAGTCTGCTAGTGCTATTCAGTATCTCACTTACTTTGTTAACTAGAGAAGCTCTATGAAACACATTTCCTACTTGTGAGGCTGTGAGGTTACTCTAGGCCTTTAGAAAACACCCTTTTCCAAAAATGTTAAAATAATGTTTTATTCAACCTTTTAATCTTTTTTTTTTTTTTTTGGTACATCTGTCAGTGTTTCAATTGCTTTTGATAAACAGATGAACATTCCTACTTAGCACTACCACCCCTCTCTACCTTTCCTTTTTCTCTGCAACTGGAGTCTTCCAGGCATTTTTAAAGCTTCCTTAAAAGTAAAGATGTAAAGTCAGCAGCTGCAGAAAAGGAGGGAAAATAAGGGTAGGAATGGGGGATTAGCTGCATGGTGAGAACTGGGCTGTCAGGGGACACTTGCTGGCTCAGGTCACTCTGAGCCTGCACCACCAGAGGTTATTCCTTTTATACCAAGTTTTCCAAATGCTTTCTCTGATTGTAATACTAAACAATGTGTTTATTTATTTTGTGTGAAATGACTATAGATACTAGCCACCTTTCATGGCTTTAGTTTCTCTATTTGACAGAAGTGGTTTATCAGCTTTTATCAAAACCCCACCTTCTTTTATTTATAGCCAATAGATGAGTGGTGCTTCTATCCACCAAATAAATCTGCAGGATGAAGATGAGAAAGCAGGCAATGTTATTATTTTTTTATTATTATTATTAAACTCCAAAGCCACAAAGACAGTACTCAGCAACACTTTCTATTAACTTCAACCCAAAGCTATTGTCAATAAACAAAATGAGCCAGTGTAGGAAGATGTCAGAGCCAGAAAGATCAAAGAATCCTAAAGTGTCAAATAAATCTAAAATAAAACACAGCAAATTCAAACCACAACGAAAGCCTTCTGGACACAGACAACTTGTGTGGCTCTAGAATTTCTTTATAGGTGGGGCTAAGAAGTAACATTTACACTACACTTTATGTAATGTGAGGTATGGGTGTTGAAGCTACAACCAAGCCTCACCTCTGATAATAACTGACAACAACTCAAACAGTTGGAGAGAAAACACGATTACCTTGCTGTACTTCTACCCCAGGCAATTAAAAGGAACAAACTGGTGCAATGACACCCTGAGAATGCTCATGCCCATGCTGCACTTCTGAGGAACGGTTGATCTTGTGACTGCGCGAGCTGTTCCTGAACTACAGTAGTGGTGATTTAACCCAACTAGGGGAAGATTTCCTTGGAAATAAGGGAACCTAGAAATCTACAGGTAGCACCAAATAGGGCATAAAATCATGTTCAAGCAGCACCTAACACGCTGAGACCAGTTCAGGAGCATCTAGCAATTATCCTTGCAAAGAAGTTACACTTTTGGGTTGGGCATCTCCGTTGTATTTTTCATTCTTCATTAAAATCCAACATCATCAATAATGTTGAACTGAGTTTCTGACCTAAGAAACTACTCTGGTTCCAAAAATTTAATCCAAGAGATGCTGACTTTAACAAACTCTACAATATTAGTTCAGTCCAGGATTTAATTTCTTTTTGAAATTAGTTTATTTCTTTTGAAATGACCTCCTTGGAGAAACTTAACACAGAAAAAATTCTTACCTTCCTGGGAAAATGTCCTAGGACTTGGCTGGGGGCTACTCTGGCCATCTCTTTCCTTGTCTGAAGGAACTTTTTTCAGGACAGGGGGAAGAAGAGCAACTTTAGGGGAACTTGGGCCAGATGGAGAGTCTGGGATGTCCTCTAAGGAGACACAAACACATGAATCAAACTGTTCCACAAACTGGAATATAAAGAATATAAAGCCTGGTAAATCTTTAAACACAGATGACTCACTTAAAAAAAAAAGCATCATAGAATTTTTCTGGCTAAAACTTAGTTTTGTTTCTGCCCAGTGAGGTAACATCCACAAACAATAATGAGAAAAATAATGACAGCTTATAAAAGATTAAAATCTGTACAGATGCGAATGTATCCTGCAGATACATAATTTCAATGAGTTGATATGTGAAAATTAGACTTCAGGCCATTGCTTTGTTAAACTCTGGTGTGTCTATGTGGCTCTTTGAGCTATGGCTGCCATGTTTCTTGCCTTTGGGCCCCTCCCCTACCTCGGGGAGATGAATCTCCTCTCTCTTTCTCTCTTCATCTCTAATTTACTTTCTAAATAAACTGTATTTTTCAATTAAAAAACATTAGACTTTAATTAAGTGAACCACATGTTCCTTCTGCCTCAAACACAAAGGCTGTTTGTTTTTCTAAAAAGATGTGATATTTATATTTCTCTGCCTTTACCTGTTATCAAACTCAGTAAAGCAGTCATATATATATATGCCATATATATGTCATATAATATATAATATATATATATGTCATACATATATAAGTCATATAATATATATATATTATTGGTGGTGATCTACATGCATGTGTGGAGATATATATCACTGATGCATGTAGATCACCAACAATAATTTGGAATCATGAACTTTCAGAACCAGAAAGGACTTTAATCATTTGATAAATGAAGAGATTAAATGACCTGCAAAGCTAAAAAAGATGGCAAGATAGCTGGGATCTTAATTCCAAAGCCAGTGCTATTTCACCCTAACTGGAAGGATCTACTGGCTCATTCTTCTTTCTCAGCTCTATTTCCAACAAGATCATTCTCAAGTTGGTGTGTATAGAAGACAGCCTATAGCCAGATCCTCTTCAGTCTCACACCTCCTGCCTCCTACTTGCTTCACCATACAACCAGGGATGCAAAGATAACAGCACCCACCTTCACAATCTCTCAGAACTGTGGTAGAGGGGAAATAAGACAGTGTATTTGAAAATGCCTGCTGAATTATCAAGCTCTATAAACACATTAGTTTGTTAACATAATTCTTGATATACTAAGCACTATGAAATGAATGAACACATTTGATAAATAAACTGAAAATAAAAGCTTCTGCAACAGAATACTGGGAATTCAGCGAGCTTCATATTCAGCATTAGAAACTGAGAAGCCAAAATACAATGGACCTCCTTATCCATGAGGATACATTCCAAGACTCTCAGTGGATGTCTGAAACCATTGCACCTAAATACACTATGCTTTTTCTTTTGAACACACATATGATAAAGTTTAATTTATAAGTTAGAAATAGTAAGAGGTTAAACAGTAACTAATAAAATAGAACAATTATAATAATATGCTGTAATAAAAGTTATATGAATGTGGTCTCTCCCTCTCTTAAAATACCTTATTGTACTGTACCATAAATAACTGAGATCACAAAAAGTGAACCTTGGATAAGGGAGACCACTGCACGCTACAAACAAGGTTAGATTCATTTTATAAGAGCTGCTTCCCAAAAGGAAGCTTGCTTCCTTTTGAGTAGTTATTTGCTTTTTGCGTTTATAAAAAATGCTTTAACTATTTTCTTTTTCTCTGTTCTCCCCATTCCTGCTGTAAAGGCATTTTGTGTGCATCAAGGTTTTTGTGTTCTCCCTCATAAAAAACTTTGGTTTGTGAAAAAGTTTGAATTAGGAAGCCCTAAATGATTTGCTTCTGGGTTAGTTCATTGAGGTAAAGCCAGTGTACCGAGGTATAGTCACTATACCCCTTTCTTTGTAGCTTCTCTTTGCAAACCTTTCACTGGTTTCTTGAGGAACCTGGGGGCTATGATGACCAAGGAATACTGCCCCAGACGGCCCTCAGGCAGTGAAAGAAATGTTTGAGAGAAAATGGGAAAGATCCACAGGTGAAATGAGTTTGGACAAACAGGATTCTGCCTTTTTTCTTATTCTACACAAGTCTTCTGCATATTGTATAAATTATTATGATGAGCTGTATATCCTACTTTATAATATGCATGCCAATAGAAGAGCGGTTACCACAACAGGTGGAAGAGTCAGTCTGGCTGCTACTCACCAGCTATGTGACTTGGCAAACTTAATTATCTCTGTGCCTTATCTGTAAAATGTAGCAGTGTTGAGGATACTGGGAATACATCATAAAGCATTTGGAACAGTGCCTAGCACAGAGTGAATCACTCCAATAAGATCACCATGATGATGACGGTGATGATGGTGATGATCTGACTATATCTCTTTCCTTGTTTGGCTATTTTTTGTGGGAGAAATAAGAGGTAAAGAGTTGATATAAGGTTCATTATATTATCCATTCTACTTCATATTTGAAAATTCTTACAATAGAAAGTTGTATTTGGAAAAAAAAAACAACATGTGGTCTTTTAAAAATGTTTTTAAGAGATGGGGTCTTGCTATGTTGCCCAGGATATACTGCAGTGGTTATTCATAGGTGTGATCATACTGTTTGAGGACTCGGGCAGTTTTGCCACCTCAGCCTCCCTAGTAACTAGAACTACAGGTGAGCACCACCACACCAGGCCTTCTTTTTTGTGGGAGAGAATAAGGCAGAACCTAATCACTTCTAATGTTTTTAAGATGTTCTAAACTAATAACAAACATTTCTGTAAAGTACTAGAGAGTAAATATTTTAGACCCTGCAGACCATGTGTATAAGTCACAATCTATTCCACTCTGCCACTGTAGCATGGACACAGACATAGCCAACACCTACACAAATGGAATGACTGTGTCCAGTAAAACTATTTACGAAAGCAGGCCCACAGTTTGCCAGGTCCTGCTCTAAACCCTAACTACGTCACAGAATATGGTGTAAAAACAGAAGAGATTGTGCTTTTTCCACATGGTCCTCATTCCTGAACTGCAGCCTTTTGAAGGGCTGAAATACCCTGAAGACAGACTTCAGAAAGGCCAAGTCATGCACTGCAGATGGGTCAACAAATCTGATTTTCCTGCTGTGCCCACCAACCAACCTGCAGCCCTGAAAGCGAGGACAGCATCAGAATCCCCTCCCGCACATGGTGGTCCTCCATGCTGAATAAGGGAATCCCTTGGCCCTTGCCACGTTCAGTTTCACACAGGTTTCCCACTAACCCTCCTTGCAGAAGCCCCCACACCCGCTCACCAGCAGCCCTTGAAACCACCTGCAGAGTCTAATCCAGGAAGCTACCTGGTGATGACGCAAACTCCCTGATGGGAGAAACTCTTACCAGGCCGCGAGGCAGTTCTCGGTTTCTGTGGGATAACGGGCCGCGCCGTGAGGCTGGGTTTAGGGGACTGCAGGAGGGGCTTAGGGCTGGTGAGTGTGCTGGATGAGCTCCGAGACCTGGAACCTGCTTCCACTCTGGGCTCTGCTTTAGCATTCTTTTCTGGTGTTCCCATCCCAAAGCGGTTCTCTGGAAGACCTGGGTGTAGTTTAGGTACTAAAATGAAAAAGCACACTTTACCATAAAAATCAAAGGTCAAAGAAGCCAATATCTTAAAGCTAGAAGTCTGGTACAAACTGCTACAATCATTTCTTGTCATTTCTCATCATGGATACTTTAAAACAGAAACATGCTGTTATACCATGTTTTCAGAATCCAAACATGTTGGAAAAAGACTAAAATTCTTTGTAGGGAATAAAATAAAGCAATACACTTGTTGATGCATTTCTGATCACTCTTGACTATTCCAAAGATGACCAGCTTTACATTTAATAGTGTACAGCTCCACAATCATGTCCAAAGAAATCAGTGTTTCTCAATGTTTTTGAAGCTTTCAGATCTTTCTCAGATCTGGCATGAGGTCGAGGTGTAACCCACTGTAAGGGCCTCTGTTCTGGTGATAATTAGTTATGGTTCTGGCTGCAGGTTCTGAGTAAGGAAGGTTATGCTGATGGCCATAATCTCATGTTTAAGTGTGAATGGCTCCAGAAATGTACCCTCATCCTACGCCTCCATTCATATTGCTGCCTTCATTTAACCAGACAACTGGCAAAAATAAGCCAATAAAAGTGTAATTTTTGGTCCAACTCTTACTGCATAAAGATACTATAGCTAAGCCAAAAAAACTTCAAACAGCAAAATGAAGATTCTAACATGCAATTTACATGTTACTCTTCAATGTCCATCTAAGGAATCTTATTCTTTTACTATACCTAAAAGGTCCAGTAGGACAGAGGATATTAGATTTCATGCATATTCAAGCTGCAAGGGAAGAATACTTCTTCATATCAAATAAGATAGCCACTGATCTTCCACACATCATGTATAGCTTATTTTGAAAAACATTAGCCATGTCCCCACAACCCTTACTCCCCTTTGCCAAAATGCCAACAATTTAGGAATTCTCAATGAAAACGCAATCAGAATTTCCTCCCTTTGGGAAATCAGAAATAGTGTCTTGTCAAAACACAAGGCTAAAATGGGGCAAGCTGCACTCCCAGGTGGACCTGGGTGGGGCAGGTGAAGGGATATGGCTTTCAGGTGAGAGCTGCAAACACACAACACAGAGGCATGTTCTCGCCTCTGTCAACCACACATTACTCCTGAAACCAGAAGGGAAGTGCTTTTCCTAAGGGAGATGAGGGCAATGACCTGACTTACCTGCTCCACCTCCGTCCAACCGTTCTACACTGCTCAAGGTCGGGCTGGAAGGATCCTGGGATATGGCATCATTCCCAAGCTTCTAAAAAATTCAAGCACCACCCCCAGAAAAAGTACACATTTATTTAATGTGTTAGTAAGGACAAATGCAAAGCAGATAATAAATCAACAAATAACGGCTCCTTAACTTGGCAGCTGTTACAGTGACTGTACCTGACCTGTCTCCCTGGGCTCTCCTACTGGAAGAATGCTAGGAGAAACACATTCCATTTTGTGCTTTCAGTCAGGGATCTGGAGTCCAAAGTGTGGCCAGTTCCTCAGAAGGCGACCCACAGATGAGAGGCGTGTGGGGCCAGGAGAAGTCAGTGTGCTTGGTGATCTTTCCTGCTTTTCTTGTTGAACTCCTAAACCAGCTCTACAGTCCCCCATGCTTCTACACACTAGAAGTTTACTGGACCCACTCCAGGTTTGCTTTCCAAAAATCTAGTTTTAAAAGCAGTGAAAACTATTACAACCTCATTGTACAACACAGGTGAAAGAGACCCTGAAATGAAGACGGTCTTCCTTGCCTTGAGGAAGGATCACAAGACACAGATCTACTGTTTAGGAGGCAAATACGGATGAACAGGCCTGAATTAATTTTTTTAAAAATCTGCAGGTTGGAGGAATTAGAGATGGCAAAGATGGGGAAGGTAAAATGCTACTATTTTAGGGTAGGAGCTAAAACTGGTAAAGCAAGGACTCAGCCTCTCCCTTCCCAGTACAGAAAGTCCACACTAGGGTGAGGCATTTCGATACAAATATGACACGAAAAGCAAAGTCTGGTGTTTGCTTAATAATATCTCAGAATCCTATTGACAAAGATGATCTGCCTCTACTACTTGTCTAACAAACAAAAATGAAGTGGACAGATAGACCAGGAGGCATGATGATTCCTAAAAGCAGTCTGACATCCAGCCTGCTCATTCCTGCTCATCTCATGCTTCTGATAAACTTAAAAAGTGAGCGGTTGCAGCAATTCCTAGCTTTAGACTGTTTTTGATGATATAAGAGGATTACTTGAGATGCAGGTGAGATCAGTCTCATTGTCTACCCTCATTAACCTACCCTGGCCACACATTCCTCAGGCCTGTTCATCTGTATTTGCCTCCTACACAGTAGATCTGTGTCTTGTGGTCCTGCCTCAAGGCAAGGAAGACCTTCTTCATTTCAGGGTCCCTATCAGAAAAAGGAAGCGCACCCAAGTGGCAGGAAGGCTGAAGAACTTCTCCGGAAGACCACAAAAGTTCTACTTTCACTAGTAGAAAGTGCTGAGCAAGTCTGTGAGGAGAAGTGTGCACACAAGCACCACAGCTAAAATGAGCACATTATTTGGCATCATTATGGAAAACTGGTCCCAAAGAAAGCAAGTATCTGGAGGGAAGGGCTGGGGACCAATCATGAATCTCATTCAAGACCTCGCCCAAGCAGGTCCAAGAGTAGGGATTTCTTTATATTTTATAACCTGGGAACCTCATTCTCCATCTCACAATCAATTCCAAGAGTTGTTTTTGTTTTTTTTTTCCCCTCCCAGGTTTTCTGAAGTAGGTATAAATCCCAAAATTATTGCGTAGAATAAAGATAAAATAATCTAATGCCCATTGATCTTTGTGCGCAGGCAACTGATTTGGTGGCCCCCAGAAAAAAAGATATGAAATCTATGCATTCACCACCTGATACTCTCCTTTGTTGATAAATGACAAATGACAAATCTTCATGCTCGCAGTTCTTTTTCTTTAATATATGAAATACTAATAATGTAAAGAATTACTCAGAGGAGGGTACAGACACCATATTTTATCAACAGACCACCGATGCTTATGTTACCGCCTTTATAAATACTACAGTCATGGAATTTAGAAGAAAATATTCTAATGCTGTTTTTTGAAAAACTATTATTTTATTATTCTGACAGAAGACTCATGACTGCATTTTAAATACTCATTTTGATGATGGTTGTTGTCTTAAATTGACACTAGATGGTGCTAAGAGATCACAGGTACCATATAAGCCCTGAACAAATAACATACTAAACCATAAGGATTTTGTCACTTTGAGTCAATTTACATATCAAATCCAAAGTACAGGAATAAAACACTCTAGAGCGCTCATCTTTTCCATCAAAAAGAAGCTGTTCATCACTGGAAACTAATAAACAGCACATTTGGAAAAACAGAACTGCTATTCAATGTTATAAAGATATTCACAAAATGGATTAAAATGTAAACATATCCTTGGATGTCTGACTCACTAATGATGTGGTTGTGGTATTGAATCAGAATTATGACCAGTGAAGGCCACATCATGCCTCCCTTGTTGAACTAAAAGAATATAGTTATATGACCTCTTCCAACTCTGCTCCAAAGGCTCATGAGTGAGCTAGGAAAGATCTAAAATTAGCAAACTGCTAGGTAATGCTGGTGTTGGTGGAAGAACTTCAGTGAACAGTTGTAAAATCATGTGGGAAGCTGGATATAATTTTTTTTAAATCATTTGTTTGGACGTAATATAAAAGTGCCCTCTATATCTGGTAGGTAGTTTACCATTTACTTTCTGAAAACCAAGGGTTAATCAGAGCAAACTATTTTATTCTGATACTTCAAATAAAATAGATATGCAATTGTCCTTTCTTTGGAGAAGTCAGTTGTATAAAAGTAAAAGAGATTGGAATGATGCAGAAAACCCCAAACCTGAGTTAAACATGAGTATGCACATCTTAGTGATCATGATAAGAATACAATCCTTTAAGGAGCTCCAGGAGAAAACAGAGATAAAAAAGAAAAGAAAAAAATGACACCTTAAACTTTTAAAATAAGCTTAACTAATAATGAATGCTTTAAGTCAGATTTTTGGGAAACTCAGCAATTTTTAAACTATGAAGCTCATCTTTGCAGTGATAGATGGTATTTATCAATGGTCAAATTTGATAAATTCTAACAGAATACATTAAGTGCTTTTTCTTTTAAGTCTGGAATATAGTAAGGAATTTTTAGGTTTGTAAAGGGAATAAATTATGAAATAACTGGAAAATAGATTTTATATTTAGATCATTATAATCTGGTTTCAGTCTTTTATTTGCCTCTGTTAATTCACCTATCCAATTACCCCCAGTTCTCCATTTGGATTCAGCGGACTCAGTCTTTTCCCCCACATGTGAGCATTTCCCCAGAACAGCTCTCACATGCTTCCAAGACATGCACAGGATGCACCTGGGCAGGTGGGACAAGGCTCATGTTGCATCTTCAAAGCCAATGCCCACCCTCCAATGCTGTGCACGTCACAAAATGTGACCCTAGAGCCAAAGTGAAAACATGGCCACACCTTTGTGGTCTGTGCTCAAGGGCCATTAGGAATAAGTTTTGGTTTTAGATTTTTATTTAACCAACAGACTATCTTTCTCTACCTCTCGAGTCCATACAAACTGAGTGGGGACAAAAACACAAGCAAGGACAACCACATAGGAACAAACCCACCCTTATCTCATGAAGATAGAGAGTAGACTAGTGGTTACAGAGGCTGGGAAGGTGAAGAGAGGCTGCTATAAGGAGCACAACTTTACAGTTAGATAGAAGAAATAAGACCTACTGTTCAATAGATCAGCAGGGTAACTACTGATAATAATCTATTGTGTCTTTCAAAATAGCTGGAAGAGAATAATTAGAATATTAAAGAACAGTTAAATGTTTAAGGTGGTAGACAGTCCAATTTCCCTGGTTTGATCATTATGCACTATAGTATATATCAAAACATCACCTGTACCCTGAAAATATGTGCATCTATTATGTATGAAATACATAAATACAAACAGACCAACACGTACCTTCTGAGCACAAGCAGCTCTCCTTTCTTGTTTGGCCTTCATCTCTGCCAGCAGGCCGCTGCCCATCACCTGGACCCCATACCTCCGCCCTCCCTGTGGGCTGCTCTTGCTGTCACTCCGGTCCAGCTTCCCTGTTTCTTCCCCTTGGCTCTCTTCAAATGAGTCGGGTGTTTTTATCTCCTCTATCCGTTCAGAACTGCCGTTGTGCTCAGTTGTCTTTGTGTCCTTTCTGGGAATGTCCACAACAGGACTTCTGACTGCCCCTTTTGGTGATGAAGGTTCTTCTGTCATCAAGACCGTTGGTGGCCGCTCAGATTTAGACCGAGATTTGATTAAATTGAGAAAGCCACCACTTTTCCGCGAATCTCGCTTCTTCTTTTCATCGCCTCCTTCACTAAGCTCGTGAGACTCTGAGCCTCTTGTTGACCATTTCCTGCATTTCAGGACAAGACACAGATCCTGTTGGTTTTTCTATAAATAAGTTATAGCAAGACTCAGTCAAAATATAACTATAGAGATGGCTGCATATACAGTAACCATTCAGAAGCATTTTAAAAAGTTGATTTGAGTTATTGCACTTAGGAAGTACAGAGGAATGTGGAATATGATAATTGTATCTACATGTGAGGAAATCAAGGTGCATGCATATGAAGAATAAGAATCTTAAGGTGTCAATGGCAGGACTGAGAAAAGAGGTGAGTTTTTTTTTTGTTGTTTTTGTTTTAATGTTTAAATTATCTCTTTACATGTGAGAACTTCCAGCAAAGCTGGCTTCACTTGACCAACAGGTGGGTGCTGGTCTTCATCAATCTGGGGTACACTGGAAAGCACCAGACTGCCCTATAACCACCAAACAATCCTTCCATGATTATTAGATACCACCTGAAATCCCATTCTTAATGCTCAAACCAAACAAAACTTGGGATCCTTGCTTAAATGTAATACCACTGACAGAAGCAACAAAATGGAAAGGCAGAGAGTGAGCTTTCGGAGCGTCTTCTGAAGGAGAATGTTCTGGAACTTAGGGTTTGATAAAAGGAGAAAGAGTCAAGGAAACGAGTCAAGTAGGCAGCACCACCAACAACTGTCTCTGACTTAAAGCTGGCAGCCTGAATACCCACTTAGCTCCCCTGAATCTTCATTGAAATAGCAGCAAGGGATTTCTTTTTAAAAGCATAAGCCCCTCAGGGAGAGAAGACAAAAATATCAACATTCAGAAGCCAAAATATAGTAGTTATGAGTGAAAACTGATTTAATAGATGTGAGAAAGCTGAAGCCTAAGCCAGCAGTCAGGAGGCCCAGAAGTAAGTGTACTTGTGCTGCTCCAGAGTGAAGGCAACAGGCACCTCTGCAAGTGGACGTGATGTCACAGCTTAAAAGAAGCAACATTATGAGATGCTCTCCTCAAACTACAGAGCTTGTGATACCCATCCTACCCTAAGTTTATGCTCCGGAGTGAGAAAACGAAAGAAGCTGAGCTGAGGGCACCAGGTGCAGCTGAGCTAAAGTGTAGGACAGTGAACATGGGGAGGCTCAGGAAAGCCTGCATACTCCCCTAGCCCCCATCTGACACTCTAGATCCCAGAATCAGGACAGGCAGGCTTATTCCCACCAGGAAGGAAATCAAAGTTTCTAAAGCCCAACATAAAAAAAAAATCCTAAAGATTCTGAGAGTCAGGGAGACCCTCTCCCCCAACAAAATGGTCCAGAAAGACCACCCTACACTGAATCCCATCAGTTGACAAGCTCCAGCCACAGTTTCAATAGTTTCATTTGTGCCACATTTCTTTTCAATATGAAAGAAAATGCTGCATCTATGAAAAAAGAATGATAGCTAAATGTGATAGCAGAAGTAAAAAATACTCAAAGTTGAGGCTATCTCCTGTAAAGCAGGGAACAGGAAATACTGAGAATAAGAAAACAAGAGAGAAAAGGTAAAAATTAGTGAGTTACTAGAAGAAATACAAAACTTGAATAGTGGAACTTTGAGAAAAAAAGTACAGAGAAAAAGGGAAGAAATTATGACACGGAAAATCCCAGAACCAAAGGCCATGAGTTTCCAGATTGAAATGGCTCAGGGAGTGATAGCAAATTGGTTAAAAAAAAAAAAATTAAAATCCCATCCAAGGGTACGTCATCATAAAATCTCAGTACTCGAGGAGCACAGAGAAGATCCCAACTGTTTTCCAGAGAAGAAGAAAAACAAAAAACAAATCACAAAGGATCAGAACTCATGATAGCACTGGGTTCTCACAAGTAACAACAGAAGCTAGGAGATAACGAAGCAAAGTTTTCAATTCTAAGTTAAAACTGGATCCCAACTTACAACTCGATGCCTAATGCCACTAGCAATCAAAATGAAAGATATGCAAGTGACAGAAACTCACTTCCCATGCTCACTTTGTCATGAAGCAACCTGAGGGGGTGCTTCACCAAAACAAAGGCATAAATAAGACTGACGCAGGCCAGTAGAAATAGGAAAGCAACACTCAAACGGGGGAAGAGGATCCCCCAAATCTCCTAGCAGATGATAAAGGGAGGTCCAAGAAGACATCAGTGGGAAGGATCCAGAATTCACATTGAAAGCTGGTCAGGCATTGGTGAGACATGTGTTCGAGAAGATAAAACTCGAGATAACTGAACAAAATGAGAGGAGATTTATATCTTTAGAGATTTAGGGGATGGCCAGTGATAGGGATGCAGAAAACTAAGCAAACAAAAAAGGGGACCAATTATTAACTCCAGGAAAAATAAAAAGTTGTATAGAAAAGGAAATGTAATCGTAGTATACTATATAACTCAGTTGTAAATGTTTACATGGTTAGAATGAAGCAAACATTTAATATTGATCTAATCAATTGCTGTGGTTTGAATGTGGTTTGTCCCCACCAAAATTCATGTTGAGGCTTGGAACCCAATGTGAAAGTGCTGGGAGTGTCCCTTCAAGAGGTGATTAGGTTGTTCATACATTTGTTATTGGCAAATTTTTCACTTTCCTAATACTAAGAGCAGGTGAAAATTAAAATAAAAAGTCTGAAGTTGGTTGTCGCAAACTTCTGTCATTAAGCACAAGTGAAATAGTCTTTTCTAAATTGTCACCTTTTTCATAATACAGTCAGAAGTTGCAGACATATCCAGTATTTGCCTCAAACCATACCACTCTGATCAGCATTCTGTACTTTGTATTTTTATTTGGATTGTAAACCCAATATATATTATATATATTTCTTTGTTTACATCGCATCATTACATCACTATCTATCTCACTATCACTAATAAGTTCACTTTCACCTTTAACCTCAGAAATCTCATCAGCATGTATTTCTTCATTTTCCATAATTATGGCACATTATTTTTCATGTTTAAGTATGAAAGCCTTGAAATATCAAAATACAAGTATACAACACTAATTGCAACAAAATAATGACCAATTTGCAATTTTTAGCAACTACGTAAATCAGTAACATTGCTCAGTAGATATCAGATAAATATCTCAATTAACTTCCTCTCTCCTTGCCTCACTTCATTTTCAAGAAAATATAATAACACATATATTTGACAACGTAGCAACATTCTGAAACAGAATTTGCAAAGACGTAAATTCACATCAGTGGCAACCAGGAACAGAATTTAGAATGATGTAAATTCACGTCAGCTATTGCAAATGAGTTAAGATGCATCAACGAGACCAATGACACTGAGTTAGTTCTCACGGGAATGAATTAGCTCTCGAGAGAATGGGTGTTATGAAGTGGGCCAACCTCCTTTGTACCCTCCTCCCTTTCTGCTTGCAGTCACTTCTCTTCCCACTTCTCCACTATGTCATGATACAGCATAAGGCCCTCACTAGAAGCTGACCAGATACAGCCACCCAATCTTGAACTTCCCAACCTTCAGAACCATGAGCTAAATAAACTTCTTTCCTTTATAAATTACCCAGTCAAAGGGTATGTTACAGTGACGGAAAATGGTCTAAGATACCAACAATTATGATAAAATTAAATTTAAAAGATGGGGGTAGGGAAAGGGAGGACGAGAGAGAGAGAGAGAGAGAGAGAGAGAGAGAGAGAGAGAGGTGTGTGGGTGTGTGTTTGGTGATGACAGAGTATATAAGAACTATGAAGACAGCATTTTGAATCTGAAAATCCAAAAATCAAAATGCTCAAAAATCTTAAACATTGGGAGTGTCAACATGATGCTCAAAATAAATGCTCACCAACACATTTCGAATCTCAGATTTTCAGATTAGGGATGCTGAACCAATAAGTATAATGCAAATGTTTCAAAATCCAAAATGACCAGAAGTATTTCAGATAAAAGAAGTTCAACCTGTATTATCTCATCTAATGTAAGAAGTCAGCAGCTACAGTTACGATCTAAAAGTGAAAAAATAGAAAAGGAAAAGCACGCTATTAAAAGCAAAATAAACAATTAAAGAAACAGAAGTTAGTTGGCTCTGGGGAAGAAACAAGGGACTTAAAAAAATAAAAAGCCAGGTTGACCATTTGACATTTTAATGTTACCTATACCCTGCCCTTTACACATGAGACAAACAATAATCTATTTTTATAACAAAATGAAATTAAAAAATCATAACTTTTAGTAGACTCCATCATCTGCTGAAAATTAATGTATCTAGTTCTATTTGTGCACTGGAATATAAACAGAATCCTCCTTGAGCAGTAACTTTGTAGAAAATGGATTTTACACCTTAAAAAATTTACCCAACTTTCACTCAGAGCCTATTAAAGAAAAAAGTAACATTATTACAGCTACTTGAAAGGCTGAGGCAGAAGGACCACCTAAGCCCAGCACGTCGAAGCTGCAGTGGCCATAAGTGTGCTGCTGCACTCCAGCCAAGGCGAAGAGTGAGACTCCAACTCAAAAAAAAAAAAAAAAGTAGAATTAACAGGAGAGGAAATCATACTGGGGAAGGTATTACTATACATGCCCCACTATTTGAATATAATTTTTTGAAGTTTAAAAAGAAAAGCACCTATGTTGGTATCTGTAGATTATATGGAGACAGGTCAAGTTGTCTCAATTCTTTTAACCATCAGTGATTTGGGGCAGACTATATATTATGGGCTGTGTTAGAAACCAATGTTACAACAAAAAAATAAGACCCAAGTTGCTCCTGAAGAATAGTATTTTATTTGGGGAATAAAAAAAAAAGACTTGAAAGCATATCATCAAGGGGGATTTTCCATTTTGCTCTGTTTTTTTGTTGGTATTGCCTGAATATTTTACATTGAAAATATACATTCATCTATTCCTTGGGTTATGACAAAATTAAAAAGGAATTCTCAAAGAATTATGTATTTTCTAGCAGAAGTGTGTAGAGAAAGGAAAAAAAAAGTCAGCAGTACAGAAACAGTAATTAATACCAGGCGGAAGAAGTAGTCATGGGAAAGCTTCAAAGAATAAATGACATTTAGGTTGGTTCTTGAAAGATAAGGAGAATACAATTTTGCCAAGTATAGTATGCTCAGTTTCAAGGCCAGTGTCAAGAAGACAAATAATTGGGCCCTGAAGCTTATAAGATTTGGTAAGTTACACTGTTATGGATATAAAAATTTAACTTACTTCCACCTCATCATCCTGCTGAGGCAAGATAAGGTACATCAATCTATAGAATGGACTATCTCCTTCCCTACCTGTACCCAGCCTGCCGCCCTTGGCTTGTCAGCAGGCTTTAAATTTGTTCTTGAATTTGATATTTCAAGGTGAATAATACTTCATAGACACAAATTCATGTTAAGAGTGCATTTTGGAAATGGATATGCATTAAATTGAGGATTAAATAACTTGGTACAAAGCATGCTTAAAAACTAGAGTGTTTCAGGTTAAAGAACTGTTAACAAAAGTATCACTGAATTGGTCTTCTAAGAAAACTATCTTAATAATAAGAAAATGCTTTAGAAAATGCTAACTTTAAAGCCTCCTCACTAATTCTGTCATTTTGACACTGGTAAAGCATGTCATTTAGCAATGACTTAGCCCCTCCCCTAATATATCAAATTATGAAAGTGAAAAAGTTCAAAGTAGATAATTCCAGCATACCACTGATCACTGCCCTATAACGAAACCATCCAGTGAATGTAATACAACCTTTAAAAAAAATACCTTACAGGGAAGGGAGGCAGGGCGGCAGTGGTGGCAGGGGGCCACGCATTTCATAGTCAGGTTTAAAATAGTACAACAGTTCTCAAATTTGAGCACACCTCAGTATAATCTGGAAAGTTTATTAAAACATAGATTGCTGTGTTTTTTATTCAGCATATCTGGGGTAGGGGTTTGAGAATTTGCATTTCTAACAAGTTCCTAGGTGACACTGATGTTGCTGAAATATTTTGCAAACCATCAGAATAAGTAATTCCTACTATAAAATGAGACTTAGTGTACTAAGTTTATTATAACTGGTTATAATGTAAATATGAAATAACACTATTGGTAAAATGCCTCTGAACTCACTTGGAATCCATTTTGGTCACCTTCTTAGTGAAAAATTCATCTACACCTTCATCTACTCTCCCCATAAGACCATTCTGTTCACCATCTTGAGAGACTATGTTGGCAGCACAGACCTGCAAGACAAACACATGTAGTGTCAAGTCACATTCATCTTAATTTAGCAAATATTTGTTACTAGATTCAAGACACTGTAATAAGGGCCATAGGAAGGACAAGACTCACTAAAATAGGCACCACATAATCTGCTGGAATACAAAGTCATGTGTACTAGCCTAACAAACAAAGACAGGAAGAAACAAAAGTGAAGAATGCACAGTAATAAACACAATGTCCGGTGGAAGACTCATGCTGATTGGTGTATCATAAGAAACTTGTACCTAATAGGCTATGAAGAGTCAAATATTTCTAAAAGCAGAGAAAAGCACTGGGAGCCGTGTGCTAAGGGGAAAAAGAATAGATGTGTTGGGGGCCAGCCTTGGAGGCCCGCCTGATTGACAAAGTCCAGGTGTGCTGAGGACCCCCCTGGCTGCAAAGCGAGTCCAGGCAGCTGAGGCCCTTCTGTCTTCTGTCTTTGCTGTTGGTACAGCTGAAGAAATTTTGTGCAGTCGTGAAAAAAGAAAATGGCATGTTTATGCGAAGTACTCACAGCTAACCTGGAAATGTCATGGTGCATTTTTCCATTTTCCCACTATGCCGCTTGGCCTTTTCTAACATATGTAAGGGTTAAACTCTGAAGCACATCAAGAATGCTTTCTTTCACTTGGTTATAAGTTACTAGATATTGCTTAAGTAATAAATGATATAAGTGTATTCACTCCTTATTTGATTTAGAATTATGCAGTTTAGTGTTTATACATAAAGTTTTTTAGAAGCACAAGTTTATAGTAAGTTCATTATGAATTCATTATAAGTTCTAACATCTATCTAGGAGTTATGTAGGTGATTTATAACACTGTTTTCACTGACTTAGGATAAAGATTATCGTTAAGGTTTTTACTTAATTCAATAGTTAAAACTCTAAGTTAACGTCTGTAGAGTGGGTTTTCACTAAACTCAAAATATACTAATCAGACACTTTTATGATAGATTAGCTAAAGACAGAAAGCAACCTTGGGGGCCTGGGAAACATTACTAAAAGCTTCTTTTGAGTTCTCTTTAGAAACAAGCACTGCAGGATAAAAGAAAAGTAACAAAGACATCTGGACAAGGGAGGCGATTACAGAGCTCTGAAGGTCATAGAAGCCCCAGATGGGAAAACTCCTGACACATGAAGAAATGTACACTTAGAAACTTTCTTGAGACATTTCAAGGGCTGTAATTTGGGACTCTGGACTAAAAGTATCATTGTTGGCTTTATGAATAAGACTCGATGTCTGAATGTTTATAGGGATCTTGGTTTGTTTGTTGCTAAGACCACTAGATGCTAACTGTTAGAAGATATGTACGTGAAGGAATTTTCTTTGTCTTGCCCCTTTACAAATGATATAAAAGCTCTGTGTTAACTAACATTAAATTGTCATCTGTTCAGGAAGCAGGTGTCTGAATATAATATTTTCATCCTTCGCCTATCTGTCTCTCCTTCAGGAAATCTAACGACCCTTGCGGGGCTGGACCCCCACATAGATGGAAAAATAAAATGCACACTGAGTTCTGAGTGTGGTGATAATTCCAGGACCCTAAGGTATGTAGGTAGAGCTAACTGCAAAGGATAAAGCCTGGAAGACACTTATAATGGCCTCCTTAGTGGCTACTCCAAACCCTCTGCTCTGCCTCCTTTCTTTCTTGCTAGAAAAGCCCAGATTTTAAGTTGTGAATACTGATCCCTATAAGCCAAATACTGTGATTCCACTTTCTTGCCTGTGATTGCTAGGCATGGGTGTGGAATACAATCTTGGTCAGTGAGATACAAAGCAAAATCTACTATGGGGCTCATGGCAGGTTTTTCTGAAAGGAGAGAATGCATTTTTCTGCATGGTTATGTGAGAAAGATGTGATGCCTAAGCTGTGGCAGCCAACTGGAGTTTGCCAAGGGGGTAAGCCTGAGGACAAAAAGATAAGGCACCTGGGTGCTTGTGTTGTGATGCTCAATAAACTAGTTCTGGATCCTGAAACCTTTGGATTTTCTGTCAGCTGAAAAAATATCTCTGTAAGCCACTTTTATTTGGGTATGTTGTAACATCCATTTGAATACTTCCCAACTAATAATGCAAAAACTCAAACAAACAGCCTTGAGCCTTATGCTGAGGAGTATGGAATTTACTTCATGAAGGATAGAGAGCAAACAAAGAAGTGGCATGGCCTAACCTGAATTTTGGGGAGATAATTCTGGGGCAGCATGAAGGGCTACCTGGAGAGGCCAGCGATTTTATGCAAGAAAAGCTGTTCAGGAGCTCAAATCAAAGACTCTTGCAGTAATCTGACCTAATCTGGAGGTGATGAGGAATTAATTAAGGAGAAGTAAGAACAGGGGGGGAAAAAAGAATTGCCCAAGATAAAATCGACGTTTCTAGGTTGTATGAATAGGAGTTTGGTTCTAGGGAATACAGCACAGACATCATAATTGGAGAAGAATATGATGAGTCTCATCTTGTCAAGTGTTTGAGGTGCTGTGAAATATTTAGAGACAGGTGTCCAACAGGCAGTGGAAAATTCAGGTCTCATGAGAAAAGCTGCTATAGTAAAACTATTTACCAAGTTAGTGTTTCTCTTTGAATGAACAACTCACAGTTCGTTTACTCAGATGCTTGATTTGTGTCTGTAGTGGTGTGTTACTATTTTACATAGATACCTTGTGGACCATCAAGAAAAAGTCCATGCTGTTGGGTAAAAGGACAAATTCTCATGTGGTAGAGATACCTGGTCTAGATGTCTTGCCATAAAGCAGGAGAAAATTATCTTCTGTAATCTTGAGATGGAAGTTGTTCCTAGGGGAACCTTGGCTTATATCTATACGGGAATTGTTTAAAGAAAAGACCATTGGCATCAAACAATCATCTAGTTCACTCCTTAGGAAAACTACATTATAAAAAGTGCTTAAGTTCATGTTTGTGAAATGCCAAAAAGTGAGCCAACAATAGATAATATACAGCAAGCCCTATGAAATGTGAATAAAAGTAAGTATACCTCTTATCTGAATGGTGCTTATATTGGAGCAAGGTTTCCCCATGTATTCAATAGAGCAGAGAATCAGAAAATCTGTATTTCGGTTATGAGAAGGGAAAAAAAGCTCACTGGATAACTTTTATTTTGATTACAAAAGATAAAATTGTACAGAGCTTGCTTATACTATATTATCATTTGTTCTTTTGGAAATGAACAGAAAACAGAATCTCTATTAGCAATAATAGCCCCCTAAATGAATACAGTCCTTAAAAATTTAAATGTGTTTCACACATTTTTATTTCACCATCACATCCTTTGAACTGAAAAGGATAGTTTTATCCTACTTTTTGGTTAGTCATGGATCGAACAATGGCTCAGAGAGTGAGGGCACCCACACAGGTCACCCGACTGACAGATGAAGAAGTATGTGATCGCAGACATACGGTTTCAACATGGGACTTCCTTCCACCATCCCCTTAAATGACTTCCCTATACATTTTGAGAAAAAAATTAAATTTTACTTGTATAAGTTATTCCCTCAGGAAAATTTATTTTTGCTTGTTTTGAAACAAAATTCACACCTGGCACAAAAGGTTCTCTGGAGATGAGGGAAACATCAATGGATTTCAGAGAAGGAGGCATAGAGCTGAACAAAGCAGTCAGCTTTCCTGCAGGACAAGTCAGTTTTTACAGCTAGACTGACTGACCCTTAAAGATTCCCAGTCCAACCCTGTCATTTTAGAGATAAAGAGATTGAGCGAGTAGACAGGTTAAGAGAAGTCCAGTATCCCTGGGAGACTTCAGTGAGACACAGTTTAAAATGCACCTGCTAAAATAGAAAGCAGGAGGTGGTGTCCACCTGTAAGAAGAGCAGTAGAAAATCTAAAAACTGAAATGAACTGTAGTTGGCAACAGAGTTCAAGGTCAAATGCACACGCTGTTTTAGCTCCTTTTCTAGCAAAACAAAAAGGAAAAAACATATAGATATCAGAAATTCTCAAAATTCCATTTGCCTTTGGTCTTTTCTGTCACAAAAAATAAATTTCAGACTGAAAAGACTAGCACAGTTGTTTAGAAGGGAGAGAGCAGAAACTTTAGACATAAATTAACATCTGCAACCTCTGCCTCTGCACTCAGAGAAAGGCATTCACAAATAAAATCAGGAACTGCAGTTGTTGATATTTGATAAAGGTAGATTTTGCACCTCTGGTGTATAAGTAAGTGCTAAAAAGATAATCTGTGAATGCTTAGAAAATAAGTTAGTGATTTTGAAGACTAAAGACAATTAATTCAGACCACCCTCTGTTTTCCCTCTGCCAGGATTATTAAAGTGAATACACCAGGGAAACACAGTAGGCGGTACACCTGGATTCTGACAAGACAGCTGCCAAATCACTCACAATGTCTTCATAGGCTGGACGGACAAAGACGGGCAGGAAGGAAGGACAATTAAGTATATTAGTAACTCTTTGAGCAAATATGCTCAAAGAGTGCTAATTAATGAACTGAATAATCAGGGATTCTTATGTGCATATATTCAACAAACATGGAAAATTAATGAGCTAAACAAGCACGTCAAGAAACAAGGAACCCAAAGGAAATAAATTGAAGAAAATATAATAAAGGAAAAATTAATGAACTTGAGATGACTGATAAAACTAAGAGTTGGTTCTTAGAAAAAGTCTATTAAAAGAGACAACCACAAAACATATTAAGAAAAAAGGCAATAGAATGTATTAAAATTTTAAAAAAAGGTATAACTGTTGACACAGGAGAAACTAAAAACTTTTAAAATAATTCTATAAAGAACTAAATGACCAGATGAATTAAATGGGCAATATCCTAGAAAAGTATAAATTATCAAAACGGTCTAAAAACAAATGAAATAAACTGAATAGATCTATGACAAAAGAAATCCAATTCCTAGTAAAACATCTACATATCAGCATCACATGTACATAGCACACAGACAATGCTTCAGGCCCAGATGGCTTCCCAGGAGAGGAACAATCTTTATTAAATGCAAACTGTTTCAGAGAATAAGAAAGGAGAAAGAGCTTCCTAACCAATTTTATGAGGATAGTAAAACTTTGAAATCCAAACTACAAGGATGGTCTAGATAAGAAAAAGAAAGAAAAATGATAAGTCTCTCTCATTTATGCACATAGATGTAAAACTTCTAACAAAATAGTAACAAAGTCTAGCAGTATATTAAAACAAAGCAAAAATACCATAATCAAGAGTGTCATTACACTAAAAAAAAAGCTGTTGATGTGATTCACCAAAATAACAGATTAAAAGAGACTGAAAAATAATCTAATTTAACATTCATCCAAAAAAAATTTAGCAAAATAGAAGAAAACTTTCTCAAGTGAATAAACAGCAGAAACTGCTTTGTGTCTATCCTCTTGCTTATTCAATAACAAAACCCTGACTTATCGGAAGTATCAATGTAACCAAATGGCCACTTATCTTCCTAGATTCTCTTGTAGCTGGGGGTGAAAATGTGGTTCATTTCTGCCAGTGAAATGTAACTGGAAGTATACTAGGACTTCTGGGTAAAATCAGATTCCCTGATACATGTACCCCATTTTCTCTGAAATATGCTTATAAAAACACATTCTAGGCCTTGCCTGAGAATAAGACCAATACCAGTCACCTGGATGACACAGCCATTAAAATGGTGAATACAACCTGTGGTTGAATAAACAGAAGTATAGAATTTAAAAGTACTTTATTTTGTCTTGAGTGCCACATTGCAAATTATTCAGAACAGAGTAATAACACTTGTAAACGGATCCAGACATTTTGAAATGAAGAACACGGAAAGAGCTAAGGAAATTAGATTTGACCACAAAAATTGTTAAGTCTACTAGGTAGAAGAGACTTAAATAATAGTGCCACTCCAGAAGACAGGAATAAGATGGCTAAGTTAAAACTATAAAGTAAGATTTTTAGCAACACACACAAACAAATTTGCTAATAATTAGAGCTTTTAAAAAATGGTAGCTACAGAGAAAGATGTCATTGTAGATGAATGGACCAACTGATGGCTGAGTAAGGATTTTTAAACACTTGATGAGGGACTCAACAAGATGATTTTAAAATCTATTCCAGCCTTATGATCCCATGATTCAAAGCACATAGGAGAAAATCTATTAACCAGGATTTAGTTAGAGTTGGGTTGTTTCATCACTAAGCCAAGTAGTGTGAGGCAAAGCCAATTATATACAGCAAACAGACTGACACTGACATATCCAAAGTGAAGCTATTAATGGCATAATATTGATTATCAGAGGAAAATTGTGGGCAGATCAGTTATCTGCCCTAGGCTTCGTATTCCCTAGAATAGTGAGTAGATCATCTTTAAAATTACTTCCACTGAGAGATTATTCTAGTTAGTAGCAGAGTCAGGACTATATTCCAGTCCAGTGTTCTTTCCACTCCTCTATGTAGATTTTTCAATGATTTTTTTTTTCCTCAAGGGAATACTTTTCACCTACCCTTATGATAGGCAAAAGTAGAAAGAAGCAATAGCTAACAGGCAGTGAGTAGGTAGAAAGCACTCCTCCATCCGTTAGGTGTGGTTAGAATGTGTTTCTCAGGTTCATCTGCAGTTAGGTGGCACATGGCCAAGTCCTGAATAGTGGTATTTGGGTGAAAATGATGCTCACCTTATCACTTTCAGACCTGACACATAAAAGCTCATGGGTGTGAGACAGATCTATTGAGACCCATGGCCACAATCCATTATTTTGAAACTCACCTTTGTGTTACAGAGTCCTTAAGAGAGAACATCCTAGGATATGTCATCCTCCAGCTAAAGGGATATGACTCCAAGGACCAAAGAGGAGGGTGGAGCCACAGGCAAAGGCAGCTTGGGTTCTTGAAGGATTATTATAGGGTCTCCTGACCAGAAATACCCACAATGTGCTATGAAGTAAGCAAGAAATAATGTCTAAAATATCAGAGATTTAACATAGTAAAGTTTATCTCATATAATGGCTGGTGTTATCCTACTTAAGAAAGTCGTTCCTCATTATCCAAGGGGTATTTGTTCCAGGATTCCCATGGATACTGAAATCCAATGGATGTTCAAGTCTCTGATATAAAATGGCATAGTATTTGCATATAATCTATAAACATCCTCTTATAATCTTTAGATTACTCATAATACATAAAGAAATGTAAATGCTATATAGTTGCTATACTGTATTTTTGTATTTGTATTTTTATTCTTGTTTTTATTTTTTATAAATAAAATCTGAACATGCTTTGCTAAGTTCCCCCAGTTTATTGCCATTAGATCATACCTACCTTTGTCCAATCATACTTCTGTACAACAATCTACTTCTTCATCAAACTTAGCATAACAATTCACAGGTTTTCCTGTTTCTTTGCGTCTTCATTTCAGAAGACTACCATCAAACTTACAAATATAAATGTGACTATACTTTTCTCTTGTTAATCTGCTTTTTGCCATAGGTGCTTCTGCCATGAACCTAGAGATGGGTGAGAAAAGAAATCTTTGCTCCCTTGCAGTCTCTAGCATGTGCCTCCAGTAAGGACTCTGTTACAATTACCTTCTCTTCTTTCTTGTTTTTGAAATGAATAAAGAAAAACATACACAAAATTCTCTCTCTCTTTCCATGAGTCATCACCTTAATCAAGGGGAAATTTAAACCATCATTTCAATCATTACTAGTTACACTAGTAATGATTCTCCACATGGAAAGAATCAAAGAGAAATAATTTATTCAGTAACAATATAAAACCTAGAGTGTGGGTTATTGTATGGGAAGCTGCCTTTTTCACTATCTCCAAAGGCTTTTCTCTTATGAAAAATAAAGTGTATTTTTTAAGAGTATATAATAATGTACTTAAAAAATAAAATCAAGTACATTAGAAAACAATGAAGTAGAAGAGTGTGTGTGTGTGTGTGTGTGTGTGTGTGTGTGTGTGTGTGTGTAATTTGGTCTGTTTTTGAAACTGTGTCAAGCTATTCAGATGACAGAAATAAACAGAACAGAACTAAAGCCTGATGTAAAGTGAGGACACTATTGACCATGCAGATAAGTTGTTGTGACCCTCATCTATCTTTATCTCCAGCCACCCACCTATTTATCCAATAAGTATTATTGGTCACCCACTATATTGCAACCTATAATGACACTGCACATAATAAATCACAGGCTCTGCCTACATGGAACTCACAGACAAGGAAGAAAGAGCTGAGAAAACATTGCGTAATAAGAGCTGTGACAGAGCAGGCAGGCACTGGAGGAGCCAGAGTCTCCATAGAGGGGTACTCAGGTCAGGCTGTACACTGTGTACAACTAGTCTGTGAGAACAACCTTCCCTAGAGTTGTGCAACCATAGCTCTGTGGGGGAATAGAGACAGAGACAGGAAGGGCTTCCTGGAAGTAGTCTTACCTGAGTGGAGATCTGAAAACCTGGAAAGTCATTATCTGCCCAGGATGTGAGAGGAAGCAATGAGAAAAGTGTTGTAGCATTAAAGGACTGGAGTCCAAGATGGGAGGTAGGAATGGCAAGGAGGAAGTTAGAAAGCTGGTGGTCAGGATCATATCCAGTTTTCTAACATGTCAAGTGGTGATGTTCCATGAAGAACAGGGGATATAAGAAGAAGGGCAGGTTTGTATGGAAAATCAGAATCTTAGTTTTGAATTTATTGAGCCCAAGGTGCCCCAGGACACTTAAGTTCGATTGGCAAGTGAATATCCAGAAATTTAGAGTTCAGTATAGCAGCCACAGTCAAAAACAGAGACTAAAACAATGGGTTTAGATAACATCACCCAGACAACAAAAACACTTAAAGGCCCAACAGTGGAAACAGAAAAGGCATCCTGGAGAAGTAGGGAGAAAAAGAAGAATGTGAAATTCAAGAGACCAGTGAGAAATTGCCTTTCAGGAAGGTTGGAGCCTTCTATGTTAAATAATTGCTGAGACATCAAGTAAGATGACAAACAGCTGGAAATAGTCCAAGGATTAGGTCATAAGTGACCTTGAGCAGGTGGATTTGGGGGTAAGTAGGTATAGAAGGAGGATTTTGGTGGGTTTCAGGGTGATGGGAAGGTGAGGAAGAAAGAAACTAGATATAGGCAAACTTTTTCAGTGGCTATAAAGGACAGAAAAGACATAATAGAGACACTGGGTACATCATGTTAAAAGATATAACAATTCAATCTTCTATTGGAGCAGAAAAGCAGATTTCTGAGAGTCACACACCGGGGCTCCCACATACGCTTCTTCTCCAGCACATCAATGTGTTGGTTATTGACCAGAGGGACCAGACCAGAAGGTCAGAGCACAGAGGAGGTTAACGCATATGTGTGAACGCCAGGATCAAACAATTTTTAGTTACAAAAAAATTCTTTTGGTACTTATTTTATATATTTTTCCTCAGACACTGTAAAATACTACAAAGGTAGCCTATATATCTCACCCACATGTCTGATATTTTTCTAGGGACTTCCAGGGGCAGCTCTAAGAACTGTAAACTTTACATCATTGCCTTCCCCAAAATTATTGAGCACCAAGTTGAAATGCTTTGTCACATGTAAAGAGGATCTAGTCTCCTTAACCATAGCTTTCATTTGTACAATGCAGTTTAGCAAGATTTCAACTCTCCCGCAGAGAGGGAAAGGGTGAAGGAGAGAAAGGGCTTCTGCATCCCACCTACCGCTGCTTGAGTGGGTTGCTGCTTCTTATTCCGTTTTGGCCTTAACTTGGTGAAGTGTTCCAGTTTCCTCCCCTCTTCAGAGGGTAACTCAGAGATAAATCCTGAGCTCCGCTTCTCTTGTCTGAGGGATGGGAAAGGCGGATCTTCGATGTGAATCGGTACCTCTTCCAGTGCTTTATCTAGATCAAACTCCATTTCTAAAATTAAAGAAAAAAGCATAAGGCCAAAGCTGAATGCAATAGAGATAGATAAAACAGTACTTAAAGTAATTTTACATCTCTCATGGAATAGCAAATGCCAATTCACCAATTACAGTAAGTCCCCTACATATGAACTTTCAAGTTGCAAGCTTTCAAAGATACAAACATGTGTTAGCATGTCCAATCTCCTACTGCTGATGATCCATCAGCTCTACCATCTCTTACCTCCTCTCCCTCCTCTAGTCAGTAACCCTTCTTGCCTGTTCACTCAATGCCAGTCTCTGCATGCCAGTTGTTGTACTGTACTGTCTTACTGTACTTTTCAGGGTACTATACTGTAAGATTATAAATGTTTTATTTTTTATTTGTTTTTTATGTATTATTTGTGGGAAAGGTATTATAAGACCTATTTTAGTATAGTACTATAAAGCTGTTTGTGTTGGTTGGGTATCTAGTTCAACTTTGTTGGACTTGTGAACAAATTGGACTTACAAACGTGCTCTCAGAACAGAACTCATTTGTACGTAGGGGACTTACTGTACTTAACTCTCTTTCTCAATATTTACCCATATAGAGCAGCATCCCTAAGGAATGTCTCTAAAATGTTCTGAGGTCCTTGATGAGGGTGTTTCATAGCTATAAGGAAATGACTGACAGTAGCAAAATACTTACCAAAGGCCCTAGAAACAGGCCGTAGCATTCGGCTGTGGATACTCTTCCTTTTGGATTTAGGAGTCATCTAGCAATAAAATAAAGAAAACACTTAGGTAATCACAGAAAACTTGCCTTTCAAACTTAGAAACATTGCAGATCAATTGTTTCAATTCAGTATTTGTTTTACTTCTTTAGAGAATGGCTGATAGCCTGACTGAGAAGACAGAATATTTCTAAATGTTTAGAATTTCTTAAATGATGCAGCTAAACTCTTTCTTTTTACCAATCCCTAACAAGTTAAATTCTACTTATATAGCTGAAAACAACAACAAAAGATATAGAGATTAACTCCAAGCTATATGTGAGGATGCTAACATAGATATAAAAATAAAATTCAAAGACTATAAAAAGTAGTCACAAAAAATTGAAAACACAACTATTCACTGATCATTGTCACAGCAACATCAATGTAAGTAATGCTTAATTATTTCTATGTCCGTTTAATGATTTAAGTAGCTTAATTTGTTTGTTTCACATTTTGCCATGTAAATTTTGATCTTGACATCATGGACAAAGAACACGAAAAGGTGCCAAGACTCAAAAACCTGTATCTGCTGGCACTTCTTAAGATGGCTTTGAATCTGCTAATCCTCTAAAAAATGGAACCTGAAATCAAACCAAGGCCAAATCTTAAGAGTATTTTCCTAGCAATTGTGCCAACCGTTGATGATGCAAAGCCAATCCTCAGAAAAGTATTGTCCTCTCCCTCAATACAATCACACAAGTGTCAAAGCTAGAAGGAACCTTTGTCATCACCTACACACATAAACCCAAAGGACAAAACCAAATCAGGGAGATAACAACTAACATTCAAGCGGTCATGCCACAGGTAGAACCCAGGAATGAGTGTCAGCCTAACATACTTCCTGCCATACCACTCATGATCAATAACCAGATGGATGGATTTTAGGGATGTTTTAACTGGCTTGGTACTGGAAACTGATATATGTGCAAACTAAGAGATAACAGAACTGAAATGTATACTTTTACTTCTTTTAATAGGTTGTCATCTAAGGCTTTCTCAAAAAAAATCCACATGGTTAAAAACATTCTTTGGCTCAAAGAATAAATTGGTTTATACCGAACTTTAAAGAAAACAATTTTATAATTTTGACAACTATGCCAGTTTTAATAATAATATTCTTTTGCTTTCATTTATTGTTGAGAGAAAAGGGACAAACAAATGAGCAACTGTATTTAAATCCAGCCTGGTTTTCGTGAAATAGACAATGAAACTTGCTTATTTGGCTATTTTGAAGTTTTATTAAAGACAGATAATCTGAGGAGTATCTACTATTTATAAATTAACAGGTTTTGCAGAGCCAATAAAAACAAAATTAACCCAATGCAACTGGGAAAAAATCCAGTTTGAAGGCAGTTCTCCCCAAAACTGGCCTTGCAGTTGGCTGAAGAAGTTAGTGGCCTGACTGGTCTACTCATAAGCAAAATCTCTAAAAATAATGAACTCTCAGGAGATGCTATGTTTAGTCACAAAAAGTTCTTCAGTATTCTATCCACCTTGTGCACAACTATGGTAGATAAAAGAATAAAGAAATAGCTTGGAATCTAATTTTCAACCAGTTTCATCTAGATAATCACAAATAAATAGAAAAAGAAGTTTAAAAATAGATAAACTGAAGACGTCTCCCCCGTCCTCTCTTAATTCAATTTTATAGTAAGGGTATTTGTTGAGCAAAAATATTCCAGCTCAATTTTTTTCTATCATTAAAGCATTTACCATAGATAACAAATACATGTAAAATAAATGAAAATTATGACATTTCAAACATACTACAATAGTTTAAAAATACATGAAAAGGAATATATTGCTTTATATATTAAAGAATGATATAATATGTAATACATATAGAAAGAAACCCATTTACAAACTGATATCCATCGGGTCATTCAGCTCACTAAAAAACAAAAAATCATCAGGATTTTTTTGATGGTTACATCAGTCAAATGGGAACTAGTTTTCTCCTCTCAGTCTCATTTTCTAATGCCTCAAAGTCCAGTATACAGAGTTTGAATAATAGAAAAATGCATTCTAAAATGCCATTGCTTTCCTTCATTTTGTGTGCTTTTCCAAAATGCAAATCACTTCTAATAACATTTCTCATAATACACTTTCACTATATTTATCATATCTGTTAGTTGTAAAGTTTTGCCACAGGGCCAAAGACCTATTGCTAAAATAGAGTGAACTGCAATCAGGCTGGTTTATACCACTGGTATTGAGAATGCAATATTCCTTCTCTTTCCCTCATGGGATTTAAGAATAACAACAGAGAGAAAAAATTGAATCTTATTTCTCTCATATTTTTATGACTCTGGAAGTTTTTCTTCCTTAGTTTTACAGAAAATGTCGACTTCCTCAATCTTATTGGCTTATTCCTACAAGCCCATCACATAAAGCAAGAGATGTAAAAATGACCCATGATTATCCACCAAAGTGTATATTTTAGAGAAAATAATAAATGTTTCTCTACAAATCTGGTTTATTTGCTATTCTCCTTCCTCCTCCTCAAAACTGTTGGATTGATGAATTACATCCCAGGGAGAAAAAAAATCTGACTTTATCATCTTCTTTAGAAACGTTAGTTCTCTTGGTTTTTGCATCAAAATGAAAGGATCAATTTTCTCCAAATGTTTCTTAGTCTTGTTGACCTTTCCTCGACATTTGTCAATGCCTAATTATTTTCTGAGTCAGGGAAATCACAAACTGACCACCAGATGAAGGCAGTCAGCAATAGAAACAAGAGGTACACACACTCTAAATAAATCTTTCATAAATCAATTCATGGTTAACACTGTCAACTCTAGGTTTAGACAAAATTAACTTATCTAAAATGCATTCTATGAGTAATGAGAGGGAATTTTCAACATTCACATCCTGAAGAAATATGAGGAAAAATGTGTTAAGCCCTTATTTTAAATGTAATTTCAGAAGGAAAAATCCTAAACAAAGACTTCTTTCTTGTCCTAACATCACAAACCATCAATAAATCCCCACTGTGGCAGACAATGTAAACAAAAATGTAATGGCTTTGTTTTCTAAGAATCCAAAAGCAGTGTAGTGTCTACACTACTCTGATATTGTATTCCTTCAATACAATTTTTAGAATAGATTTAAACCATTCTGCATGTAACTCAGTAGAGATATATCCACTTTTACCACTAAAGACTAATGTTGGAACCTCACAAACAATACAACATTTTTTTCTGTCAAACCCACTTGTAACATGTAATTCCTAGACATATTATTTTTGTTAAAAGAAAGGTAAATTGTTTATCTCACCACAGAAAACACCATAAGGCAGTTTGGTTTTGCCAAGTTAGCATAAGAAATAACAAATAACACTCTCACTCCAAGCTTAAAAATCCATAATTACTCCACTAAGTCCCACACCACCAAGGCTTTAGAAGAAGGAAAAAAAGAGAAATACCAGTTGAGAAGCTGATTAGAAAAATTCTAATACAAGAAGCAAATCATGATGCTGATTTTCTACAACCCTAGGCCCAAAACAAGTAATACGACAAGAATCAGGAAAAAACCTTGCAAGTTTAAGTAATCATGTCTTTATTATTATGATTATTATTGTGATTATTATTATGTTAGTATTATTACATGAATGGAATATACACTTTTTTCTTCATGAATGTTTGTATCCTCTTCATCAATACTCTGCTTGCTTTCAGGCACATGGCTGGGATATTTTAAATTCATCGCCTGTTTTGCTATCTGAACCATCTTGTAAAATCCAATCTTGCCTCTAAATTGTTGCCTGTTTCATTCAGGATCTGCAGATGGACGACGACACTATAGTCTCCTGGGAGATCAGCCAGGCAGCACAGAAGCAAATGGAGCACAAGAATATAAACTAGTACAGCCAGAAACTGCAGAGCCACCAAAAATACTTACACTTGTACAGCAGAGAGTCTCCATGCAGCAAAAAGAAAGGAAAAAAAATATGAATGGAAGAGAGATAAAGCAACAGTATTACTAGAAAAAGGAAGGGAGAGGGATACCATTCACAAAGAAACAGAAAAGCTAAAATACACAAACAGCCTTCATAGCAAAAGAAAAAGGCAAGAATGAGGACAAAATATTTAGTGGCTTAAGGCATCTAACCTAGCTTTTTATAAGCAGAAGCATAATAATGGCTTGAAATATTGCAGAAATTCTTACCTATAGATATTATCTCTTTTGCTAGGTTTGTGTAAAAGTGCCATTCACCAGCCCCACAAAGCAACACCCCATTTGGGGATGGTAACACGATCAGCTCCAGAGGCACATAGTGAACAGAACACTGGATGAATATTAGCAGACCGCGTGCAAATCTTGGCTCTTGGGCCACAAGGCTAGTCCCAGCATTAAAGTGGAGATGGTGTATCTATGGGCATGTACAGGCAACCCTTCTGGGGACCACTAATATCATTCCATGCTCTCCACTGCATCATAGGAGCAGCAGCTTTGAATTCTTTTTCCTCTCCAGTCATTAACACTTTTCAGGAAAGAATCCAAAGCCAGAATCTAGCACAGTTGCCTACCCATGGTGCAATTAAATATTGACAATACCTTGTACCTTAGTGGAAATTTAGGTCATCTTACACTTCACATTAAATCTCTACTAAAATTATGTTTAAGATTCCATCAATCACCATTAACAGTTGTTAGTCATCTTATTATTCTGAAAATTTATCTAAAAAATTTTAAAAACAAAAAGGCAAGTTCCGTGTAGCATGTCAGTCTTTGTGAAAGTAGGGTGTGGGGTGTTGGGGAATCCTTTCCAAATCTGTTAGGGAATCCTTTCCAAAGAGGTGAAAACACACCTCTTGAGGAATACCACCTACTCCATCCACCTGAGGCGGACTTTTTTCCAAGTTCTTTATTTTTTGTGCCAGTTGTTCTCAATATAAAATGGGATGAAAATACAGGGTTCTTTTAATTTTAAGTGTAGCCAGGCATGGTGGCTCAAGCCTGTAATCCCAGCACTTTGGGAGGCAGAAGCGAGAGGATTG